CCAACCTGAAACGTCAACTTTCCTGCTCCTCTGATGCTGCCTGGCCCGCTGTGCTGCTCCAGCTACACGCCGTGTTATCACTCACCCCGTCTGTTCCCTGTGGCCCTGCAAAGCCAGGGTTGAACCTGCCTCCACCACACTCCCAGGACACATTCCAGATCCTAACCGCACATTGTATAAAAAGGGCTTTTCCTCATACCCTCTGTTGCCAGTTACTTTAACTCTGTGCCAACTCATTCTCTTTTGTCAATGGGAACAGCTTCTCCCTCTCTATTCTGCGCAGACTCTCGTGAATTTGAACACCTCTACCAAAACTCCTGTCAATTTTCTCTTTTCTAATGATAACAGGCCCAGTTGCTCCAATCTATCCCCATAACTGAAGTCCCTCATTCCTGGAATCTATCTCAAAAATCTTTGCTGTGCCCTCTCTAAGACTTGCAAATCTTTTCATTCGCAGTGATTTAAAACACAGCAACATCAGTCAGAAGTTTGGAATTCTTAAAAATCTTTTTTAAAAGATGTATGTAGTTTCACATCACAATTTTTCTGAGATTTATTCATTCAAAGGAATTAGCCTCCAGAAGGTGCTGGGGAGCAGCAACCTACTTGAATCACTGCAGCCCACATGGCAATGGTACCCCGTTGTACAGTTTTTTTTTAACTCCCTGTTTGATGAACTGACTGTCTTGCTAGGCCATTTCAGAGGGCAGTTAAACATCAACCTCCAAGGTGTGGGTCTGGAGTCACACGTAGACCAGACTCGGTTAGGGCAGTTTTTCCATCCGCCCCCAACCATCAATGAACCACACACTTTGTTTTAAATAATGATCAACGATAGTTTCCTGTTCACGATTATCGATACAAGGATTTTCAATCAAGGCGTGTTTAATGAGCTGAATTTGAATTGACGAGATGCGCTGATGTATCAGGATTATTAAGGCAGGCTTCCACGTTGCTTGCCTGGTAACGTAACCAGTCTGCCAGCATATCCACGGCAGCAATAAGCAACAAACCTGCTCAGTTGCACCACTTGGTCTGTCTCTTTAAAGTCACTGTAAGGGTAAATGGTCTCAGGAGCTGCCCAGGTCAACGAGGGCCATTTATTGCCAGACAATTACATTAGCTCCTGTCAGCCAACGCACCCACCCCTGCTCCCAGGAAGTAAGCCACTTCCCCCCCACCCCATACGCCTGCCCAGTGGTGACCCTATTCTAACATCTTTAACTTCACGTGAACGCAGAGGGTAAAGCGGGGAGAATGATGAGAGCTGCAGAATTCGGAGAGGTTTGGCTTCGGTTCTTGAGTGGGCGGGAGGTGGGGACTTTAGCTGTGAGCTGGTTTTTGGGAGAGAGAGAGGGGGGCAGTGGAAAGGGGGGAGTTGAGCATTGGGCAAAGTTGATGAGGGCAGCATTTCAACAAAACGAGACAAACGGCCGACCTTACACAGCCTTTTTTGCTGCAACAGCAGCGATTGGGACCCAAAGAGCAGTCCGTTAGACCACACCCCCCCCAACAAAAGCAGGAAGGTAAATATTTAAAAGGGGCCTCGCAAGTGTCAGCACTCAGCCGAAGCTCCACAACAGCCACTGCAGTTTCAGAACTAGTCACCTCAAAATTCTGCTGTGCAACCCTCAATGAGGGTCATGGCACACAGCATATGAAGCCATGAATTAAACCCAGACAGTCCAATTTCACTTCATGCATAGCTCAATGCTGCCACAGTGCACTCAGTGAAAGCATTCCACCGTGATGAAGCTGTACAGGACTTTGGTTAGGCCACACCTGGTGTACTATGTGCAGTTCTAGTCACTGCCCTACAGGAAGGATGTGTTCGCACTGCAAGTGGTGTGGAGGAGATTTGCCAGCATCTTACCTGGGATGGAGCTTTTCAGCGATGAAGAGAGACTGGACAAGTTTTCTTTGGAGCAGAGAAGGTTGAGGAGGGAAACCTGATAGCATCATAGAATCCCTACAGGTCATTCAGCCCATCAAGTCCACACTGATCCGCCGGAGTACAGCCCACCCAGACCCAACCCCCTACCCTATCTGTGTAACCATGCATTTCCCAAGGCTAGTCCACTCAGCCTGCACATCCCTGGACACTATGGGGCTATTTAACATGGCCAATCCACCTAAATTGCACATCTTTGGACTGTGGGAGGAAACCGGAGCACCCAGAGGAAACCCATGCAGACACGGGGAGAATGTGCAAACTCCACACAGACAGTCTCCCGAGGGTGGAATTGAACCAGAGTCCCCAGTGCTGTGAGGCAGCAGTGCTAACCACTGAGTCACCGTGCAGATGTGTAAAATTCTGCGGGGAGTGGACAGAGTGGATAGAAACCTGCTTCTCCCCCTAGTCGACACAAGGGGCGCAATTTTAAATTGAAAGGCGGGCGGTTTAGAGGGAATTGGAGGAAAAGCTTTTTCACACAGAGGATACTGGAGGTCTGGAATGTACTGCTGGGAGAGTAGTTGAGACAGGAAGCCTCAACCTTTAAGAAGCACTTGAATGAGCATTTGGAGTGTCATAACATTCAAGGCTGTGAGCCTATTGCGGGAAAGTGGGACTAGTGAAGGTGGTAGCGTATTTTTGGTGGTAGACTTGACAGGCTGAAGGGCCTCACCCATACTGTATGTTTCCTTCAATTGACTCAATTGATCGTGAGGTCAACGTCCCAGGTCAGAGCACCTCATCCAGGCCGATACTCCCCATTTCATTCCTGAAGGGGGCTGGGAGGGGCTACACTGTCTCACAATCAGATGTTAAATCAACCAAGATGCCCTCCTCTGCTGTTCCAGGCAAACACGAAGAATCCGACTGTGCTCTTTGGAGAATCCCACCCAGATGTTCTGACCAATTGCCATCCCACAATCAGTGATAACCGAGACTGATGCTACTTGTGGAATTTTGCCATGCACAAATCAATGACTGCAGTGACCCCGTCCTCTATAAAGTACACTGTCAGCTGGCAATCTCTTTGTGACATCCTGAGGTTTGAAAAGGGCCTTGAGAAAAGCAAATGCCACCTTTGTTCCCTATAAATTTTGTTCAGTTTCTCTTCTGACAGACCAGCCGAGGGAGAACATGCAGTCACGGACATAGATGTTTATTAGCCAAACAGCCTTGGACAGTAAACGAGTAATTAGCCCTCCCACAGTGTTGAAAATAATTTATTTACAAAGCAAATGCCGTGTACCCGACTGAACCAGTTGCTGTTTCAAGACTGCCCGCTCACCTGAGTAAAGCGCTGGTGCAATCACTCTCAAAGGAGTCGTCATCTCTCTGGTCCTCAGCTCGCTTTGACACTGGGGAGCTGGGGCTGACCCCTGTGTGGATAAGAACAGAACAACACCTGTCACCCCAGGCTTCACTTACAGACAAACATAATTCCCCTTGCTCATAGAATCATAGAACCCTACAGTGTGGAAGCTGGCCATTTGGCCCACTGGGTCCATACCGACCCTCCAAAGAGCATTCCACCCAGAAAAACCCCCTTACCAATCCCTGGATAACCCACCTATCCTGCATATCCCTGGACACTCTGGGCAATTTAGCATGGCCAATCCATCCAACCTGCACATCTTTGGACTGTGGGTGGAAACCAGAGCAACCGGAGGAAAGCCACACAGACACGGGGAGAACGTGTAAACTCCACACAGAAAGCTGCCCGAGGGTGGAATTGAACCTGGGTCCCTGTGAGGCAGCAGTGCTAACCACTGAGCCACCATGTCACCCTAGTTGGGGACCATAGGGAGCAGGTCCAAGGCGGGGATACTCCCCAGGCTGAAGGGGGGTATTCCCAGTGCCAGTCTCAGCAAAGCTGGCCCTAACACTCCTCGTTCAATCTCACCATGGGGGCATGGTTGAGATGACGGCCTGGTGGTATTATTGTTAGACCATTAATCAAGAGAACCAAGTAATGGTTTGGGAACACTGGTCCAAACCCCACCTTGGCAGGTGGTGGAACTTGAATTCAATTTTAAAAATCTGGAATTAAGAGTCTAATGATGACCACGAATCTATTGCGGATTGTCGTGAAAAACCCATCTGGATCACCAATGTCATTTAGGGAAGGAAACTGCCATCCTTACCCAGTCTGGCCTACATGTGACACCAGACACACAGCAATGTGGTTGACTCTGAACTGCCCTCTGGGGCAATTAGGAATGGGCAATAAATGCTGCCCTGGCCACCAGCACTCACGTCCTGTAAATGAGTAAAGTAGAAATCTGGCTGCTCTGCTGGGGACCTCTCCAAACGGTCATTTCCCCACCGAACCTACGAGTCCCATTAACAGACACAAGCAGAAGGAATAACGGGTGGGAAGGTCGACAGTGGCATATGCTGTGCTGTGGGCATTAACCCTGTCTCCATCTTTCCTTTTAATCTTCAGCCTGAGAGGCACAGGGTTGGTGGGGTGGGGTTGGCGGGCGGCAGGCGTTGGTGGTGGTGCTGTACTCACTGCAGGTGAGATCCTGGGAGAGTTTCAACATGTTCTGCAGGTGGGACCGGACCGACTCCATCTCCGAGATGTGCCTGGATCCACCCTGCAGAGGAAGAACGGACAGGGTGAGGAAGGAGGAGTTCACCTTTCCAGGGGTGATACCATGGTTAATATACTGGTTCTAGCTATTCTGAGACCTGGGCTGAGGACACATGTCCAAGCCCCATCACTGCAGTTCAGCAGCCAGAACAAAACTTAATCTAATCTGACAATACAAGACGTGGGAACAGGAACAATGGAAGTAGCATAAGGCCACTTGGCCTCGCGACCACCATTCTAGATCATGGCTGACCTTCGACCTCAACATCATTTTCCCCACAATAAACCTATATCCCTTTGATGCCTTTAACATCTAGCAGTCTCTGATTTGAACATGGTGAGGTAGAGTGATGCCAATAGCATGGGTTCAATTCCTAAACTGGCTGAGGTTATCATGAAGGGTCTCTCCTTCTCAACATCACTGAAGGGTGTGGTGACCCACAGGTTAGACCACCACCGGTCATCTCTCGTTAATGACAGAACAGTCCTATGGCCTGGTAAGAATCTCCTCAGCCCTCAAGGGTAGAGAATTTCAGCAATTCACAGCCCTCCGCTTGAAGACATTTCTCCACACCTCAGTCCCAAACGGCCTGCTCCCTATTCTGAGACTGTGTCCCCTGGTTCTACAAATTCCACCCCATCCTCGGCAGGAGCGACAACAAACATTGTTTTAACTGGCACCTTATGAACCAGCACTCTCAATAAACCGGCAAAAAATTATATACCCAAAAAATCAGAAGTTTACTGTATTATCACGATCCCTGAGTCATCAGTTGAGGGTGTGAGTGAGAAGGTTCTCTGCCAGTAAGTTTTATTTAAGGAAAAATTGTATTCTTATTTAAGTGATTTATGCTATAAATAAAGTATAACAGTGATATGTATACCCCCTGCGTTACGTTTCTATTACTTAGTGTGTGATTTTACATTGGTTACGTGGACCTCTTGATCAACCAGAACATTGATAAACCAGCATACTCCTGGTCCTGCAGGTACCACTTAATAAAAAAAAAGTTTACTGCAGTACCCTTCCTGTTGAGTCCTGTAAGAAATTTGCACACTCCCACGAGTTCACCCCTTATTCTTCTAAACTCTAGAGGATACAGGCCCAGTCTCCTCATAGGACAGTGCACCACTCCAGGAATCAGTAAAGAGTGAGCGTGAAAGTGTCGAGACTGTCAACAAAACTCGCTGATTGCTCCACTGAGGGCTGGAAAATTGCTGTTTGACTTGATGTGAACCGTTAAGTCCAACCCAGCAAGTTGGCGATTCCTAACCAGTCCTGGGACCTGCTAAGGACGGGGTGCCTTGTGATGGACAACAAATGCCTGACTTGGCAGTAACTTCCTACAGACCCCGTGCCCACCTAAAGAAGAAATAATTTAAATGTGTACTCGCAGACAGCAATGGGAGAGGGACTGGTGTGCACTACTCAGCATTATGTTTATTCTGCTCTCTTCCTGCAAGAGCAGAGACGCACAAATAAAAACTGGCCAGACTGAAAATGAAAATCAAAGATCCTTGGATTTAGATGTCCAGAACAGAAAAGCACAGAAACAGGCCACTCAGCTATTTCATGCCCCACGTCAGCCCCCTCCTGCCCTACCTTATCTCATCCCGGTAACATGTCCTGTTCACTCGCAATTGGGGAACACGCTCAAATACAGCTTTGGTATTCATCTCAACATCCCGCACTGCAGAATCCGGAGTGAGCGACAATAGTTTGTTTGTGCTGGACACAATGATATGACGTTTCCCAGTGGGACTGGATGATGAGGGAAGACTGAAAGTGGCGTGCCAGAGAAATGCAGATTTACCTTCAGCGCTTCGCTGCCTTCTGCCCTTTTGGAGAGTCTCTGGGCCGCCTGCACGGCCGGATCTTCCAGACCAGGGGGTGCCAGCGGCCCAGGGGCCTCCTCGGAGAACTGGACGGACTTTGGGGGGCGGGAGGCCGCGGTTTTGCAGGTGCCTGGCCCTGCCCAGCTGCTGGCAGTCGGCCTGAGCACGGGGTCGGGCTGCCTGGCATGCGGATCTTTGGAACGGTTGGTGAGGGCACCTACAGAGGAGGAGGAGGGAGGAGGAGGAGGGGAGAAGCGGGCAGCTCCCAGCTCGCGGCTCGCCCGCAGCGAGGAGTACAGCCTGGCGGTCACTTCAGAGGAGGTGGTGGCGAGGCTGGCACGGGGGCTGCTGGGCAGGGAGCGTGCCACGGCTGGAGGAGCAGAGCGCCCAAAGTTGGACTTGGCGGCGGCGGTGGCGAGGCACGGGCTCGGCGGGGCAGAGCTAGGCGCAGACGGCGGCAGTAACTCCACATCGCTCATCAGATCCTCGGCTTGAATCGGGGAGTCCATCTGGCGGCACGGCCCGCTCGGGACGGCGCGGGAATCTCTCTGCATCGCACAGCGGCCTCAGGATCCCAACCTGCCGGCCAGAAACACATTCCAACAGGTCACTCACACTAAGTTAAATGAAAAAATAATGACCGCATGGCGAGACAATTCAAAGTCACTCAACATCGGCAACCGCTCGTCCCCATTCTTCCCTCCTAGCCCCCTCTCCTGTCTCCTCAGCATTAGCATTCACCCCTCATGACCATCCTCCCCTTAATTCCTCCCGTGCACCCAAGGTGCTTCACCAATTTACCCCTCTTTTGCCCTCATCCCTCCCTCTACTCGTCCTTGCCCCTCTACGACACAAGCACCTCTTCTTTGCCCGTGTCACGCTCCACTCCTTTTTAAAAACGGTCTGTGATGCTCCTCTACCCTTTACCCCATGTTACCACGCACCTGTCAAATTCTGCCCTCCTTTTCTCTGGTACCCGACACTTCCCTCCCTGTTTCTCCACCCCAGGTAGCTCTCCAGACCCGGCTCACCACATTCCCTCCTCCTGCCCTTGACCCATATCACCTTCCATTTTCCTCTCCATCCTGCGTCATGTTAACTCCCTCTCTTACATCTCTCCATCCCCTGTCTCAGTCCCCTTGCCCCCCACATTCCTCCGACCTCACCCATTCCCCTCAACTCACCTCTCCCCCTTATCCCTCCTTAACACTTCCCCCATAATCCCTCCTCACCTCCCTCATCCCTTCCTCCATAACTTTTTCCACATCCATCTTTCATTGCCTCATCACCCTCCCCTATCCTCCCTCACTTCTTGTCTCCCTCATCTCTCTCCCCTCCCTCTGATCTCCCTCCCTCCTTATCTCCCTCCCTTCTGATCTCCCTCCCTCCTTACCTCTCTCCCCTCTGATCTCCCCTCCCTCCTTATCGCCCTGCCCTCTGATCTCCCTCCCTCCTTATCTCCCTCACTTCTGATCTCCCTCCCTCCCTCCCTCCTGATCTCCCTCCCTCCCTCCTTATGTCCCTCCCTTCTGATCTCCCACCCTCTTTATGTCCCTCCCTTCTGATCTCCCTCCCTTCTGATCTCCCTCCCTCCTGATCTCCCTCCCTCCTGATCTCCCTCCCTCCTGATCTCCCTCCTGATCTCCCTCCCTTCTGATCTCCCTCCCTCTTTATGTCCCTCCCTTCTGATCTCCCTCCCTCCTGATCTCTCTCCCCTCTGATCTCACTCCCTCCTTATCTCCCTCCCCTCTGATCTTCCTCCCCAATCTCCCTCCCTCCTGAACTCCCTCCCCTCTGATTGCCTTCTCCCCTCTGATCTCTCCCCCTCTCCCCTCTGATCTCTCCCTCTCTCCCCTCTGATCTCCCCCTCTCCCCTCTGATCTCCCCCTCTGATCTCCCCCCTGATCTCTCCCCCTCTCTCCCCTCTGATCTCTCCCCCGCTTCCCTCTGATCTCCCCCCTCGG